CCCCAAAACCCCAAAACCCCAAAACCCCAAAACCCCGTAGTGATAAGATTGTCTTTTTAAATGAGATTAGTCTATAAATAACTTTAAGTAATATGGATTAATTTCAATCATTAATCTTAATCTTTCACTACAATAAATGAATCTAAACTATTGAATTTTCTCATCCTCCTCAATTAATGCCTAATTCCTTAAGAGTTGAGTAATTCCATTACTTCTCTTTGATAGAGAATACATGAAGGTTTCCTCCAAGACCATCGATTGCATACAAATAATTTCCATAGATCCTAGCAATAAAATCAGAGTTATGACACATAATAGTAGAGTCAATGCACATCATTGATTTCTTAAGATGATTTATCTGGACATCATGAGATTGTGACAAAGATAATGTTGATGGTTTTTTGAAAACTGATTAGAAGTCAAAACTGAATGTTTAACCTTGACCTCCACCAAATAAGAGAATTTCATTCTGTGACAATTAGATAGAGCCAAAGCCGTAGCTATTTGCCATGCCTTTATTGTAAAGCTTGAAAAACTGCCATTTTGAAGATTTTATCTCATTAGGCTCAATTATCGTCCCTAGATCTAGCATTTCAATAGATTGATGACTAGATTGTGAGCTACCTGGAAAGGTATAAACATACCTATGATTTACAACGCAAGCTGATGTGCTTGATCTTGGCTTATTGAGAGAAGGCGCTGGATACCATTAATTATTTAATGTGTCAAATATCTCACAGACATTTGTGGATTAGCTATTACTAAGCTGATCTCCTCCTATTGCTAAAATAAATTTGTCAATTATCAATGCAAGTCCAATGTTGCACCTAGCACCTGATGGGAGAGGTTCTTTTTCTAATACATTCATATTTGCGTCTATTTCTAGACAGCTGGTATTTTATTTATGATTGAGATAAACACCTCCAATCACATAAATATTACCAGATTAAAGCTAAGCAGAGCTAAAATAAGTTGGCAATGGAATCTATGTGTAAAGCTATTCTTTTACAAAGCCCTGTAGTTTAAAGTCCAGGAGATAGATTTCTTTTGAATTAGGTCTTAAGAAGTAGATACTATTTTGATTCTTATGTCTGTATCTACTGATAGTTGATGCCTCTAACATTGAATTATGATTACTTATTGAGAATGAGGAACCTTAATTAGATTTAATCATTTCCTCAATCTTCTATATTGATGATCTCACTTTACTATTTGAATCACTATCTAACTTATTTAATACTTCTTTTGTCAATCTCATTACACCTTGGTCAGTTGTGGGTGGTTGTAAATGCTAGCCTAAATGATTTTCAGGAGACCTGTTGCTGTTTTTTACTGAGTTAGTATCATTATCCTGAAGAGAATCTTTTTTTTCCAATTTAGTTAAATCTTAATGAGAATTATTCTTTGGTATAATAGTTTTCAATTATTTCTATTCGACAACCTATGGTAAAGATTTTTGCTACTCTAACTTAACTGATTTCCTATAAGATACCTCTTCTATAGTTTCAAGCTTTGGTTCAATTATCTTATAATGATTAAAGTTATTTTAAACTGGGGCTTAGTTTTCATGCATAAAATCCAAGAAATCTGGAAAGAATGATGATTGATCTGCGAATTTCCTCGATTCTGGTAATCCTTTAATGTCACTAAGATCAAGTGTATCAATTGATGGTCGATGGAAATGGCCATTGTTTGATTGAATTTGCTAATAGGGAGGTGTCTAGTATCTATTTTCAGGTACTTGATCTTGATTGGGATTGAAGTCTCTACTACTTTACTCTATTACCAGATTATTTATCAAATCACTCTAGGTTCTATGCTAAAAGTTCATTTGCAAAGATTAATTATTATTCTGCATTTACTAAAGTCTATTATTTTGTTAGGTTGGTTGCTATTATTGTTATTGATAGGTATTATATTGATTCATTGATTGCTAGACTGATTGATTTTACATCATCATAGATACTCCAAGCGTATCGTTATGACTTCCCTGTGATCTCATCATCTTTAGCTTTTTGTCAAAGAATTAAAAATACTTAACTTCTATCTTTTGCTTAAGCCCATCGATAGAAACAGTCCTTTTCTAAGTTTCACTCATTTTAGATAATTATTATTGCATGTAATTGTTTTGTTTAAGGACTTCGTTTTCAATAGCATTCATCTAGCTTCTATACTTCTCAATTACCTCTACTTTTTAATCAGCTTTACTATTTGAAATAAGTGTGAATATCCTCATAATCTGCATATACTTATCTCTCAAGCTTTCAAGTTACTAGTTAAGTCTTCTGTCCTCACCACGGAATTACTTAAGATCCTTAGAATTTTCAATATCTTTTAAACTCTAGACAAATTAGTTCGTAAATATCTCAATCCAGCTTAGGAATTGTTCTCGAACTTGCATGAGCACTTTTCTGATCTCACTCTTCCAAGACTTCATCAAGTTCATGTTTGAGGACTTTTCCTTAATGATATCTGCTGCTAAGTTTTTAATTCTCTCATATTCCTCCATCTCTTTTTTGAACTTTATGTCAATGTATATTAAATCTTATTCCTCTAGCAAACATTTGAAGCACTTATATTTTTGCTATTGATTTGAAAAGAAAACAGCAAGAAGTTTATGAGCAGAGCAGTTGATACTAAGTTCAGACTTGGTGTTTCCAGTCTCCCAGTGCTATTATACCATAGCATTTAGAATGGTAGCATTTTATGTAAAGTCAAATAGCAGAGTATCTTCTTGTAGTACAGGTAGTTGAGTAACTTAGGCAGGACTCTCATAGATATTTGTGACTGGATTTTAACTCATTTGGACACACTAAATAAATTAACAAATTAAATATTTATAAATACTTATAAATTTTTAATTAGAAATCTTTAAAAAAATGATGTGTGGTGGATTTACATCAGGAAGAGAGATATCACCTGATGAGCAACAATTGATACTTAGTATGAGAGAGGAGACAGAATAATATGTTGATAGATAGTTTGAAATGTTTGAACCTCTTACTCTCAAATCTTAGGTTGTTGCAGGAGTAAACTATATGGTTAAGGTCCAGATTGCTCCAGAAGAATACATCCATGTTAAGATATATAAGCCTCTTCCACACACTCAGAAGGCACCATCGATTTCAGAGGTTCACTAAGGGAAGACTTTAGAAGATGAGTTGTGAAAGGAGTTGGCATATAGTGTCTTATTTATAATAAGACTCATTACAATTCTAGCATAAATCATAAACTGAGTGATAGTACTATTAACTTGATTCATTAATAATTCAGTATAAGTTTAAAGTTATTCATACAATTGTCTACTTATATAATCTTAAAAATTAATTAGTAATTTATGTCACTTTCAATAAAATTAAGCGCAGAGTATTTACGATCGTCATCATTTCTATTTTCATATCATTTCTCTTCCTTATTTTCTCATACATCTAGAATAATGTTTCTTGAATTGTATTTATTATCACTTTGAATATCTTCAATAGGGAATTATTTTAGGTTGATACATCGTCCATTGAAGATTGCTTTAAATATTTATCTATCTTCTATAGTGGCATCTTTATTGATTAGCCGTAAGTCACTGCCAGCAAATACAGGCAATAAATCTTCATGCATTGAATCTAATATTTCTATTGCCATTCTTTTTTCACTGAGAGTCATGTTTGTAGTTCTTATATTCTAAATATTAACAGTCTTTTTAAATCCTAATGCATCAACTAAATCAATCTTAGTACCACAACTATGCAAATAAACTTGTCTTATTAGGAATTATCTCCCTTTAAGAGCTGAAACAACATGAGAAATAGAAAGGAGTATCCAAGTGGTTGCCAAAATACTGGAATAAAACCATCCATTTGCGTATAAAAGATAAACTATTGCTGGACCTATAATACTTTTTAGCTTTGCTGCAGTAGTTGAATCTTCTATATGTCCATTTTCACCTATTATGTAAGAAGTTTCATACAGCAGCCATCTATTGTTTTTAAAGTTCAGAATTCTATCAGTATCGTAATTAGGTAATTATTCCTCCTTATTCTCATTTTCTTCATCCTCTGAGTGAAAGTGACTTCTTTATTTCCTAGTGAAATTATATTTTGGCACTTGCACAAATTAACTTGTGTGACTTGGTTACAATCTCATTGTCTAGGCTTGCTTTCTTAGTAAAATTTGATTTAATGGTGAATTCCTTGTAAATTATCGTGAGAATTTAGACATCATTTTGATTACTACTGACTGGCTAATATATTATTTATATAATAATCTAGTCTATTAATTTGTTATTTTATACAGTAATAATTAAAAATCAAGCAATATGGGGTTTTGGGGTTTTGGGGTTTTGGGG